ACTATAGAATAGTCTATAGTATGGACTATAGTACAGTCTATAGTCTGGACTATAGAACCGTCTATAGTTTGGATTATAGTCTGGACTATAGAACAGTCAATAGTCTGGACTATAGAACAGTCAATAGTCTGGACTATAGAACAGTCTATAGTCTGGATTACAGAATAGTCTATAGTCTGGACTATAGAACAGTCTATAGTCTGGACTATAGAACAGTCTATAGTCTGGACTATAGAACAGTCTATAGTCTGGACTATAGAACAGTCTATAGTCTGGACTATAGAACAGTCTATAGTCTGGACTATAGAACAGTCTATAGTCTGGACTATAGAACAGTCTATAGTCTGGACTATAGAACAGTCTATAGTCTGGACTATAGAACAGTCTATAGTCTGGACTATAGAACAGTCAATAGTCTGGACTATAGAACAGTCAATAGTCTGGACTATAGAACAGTCAATAGTCTGGAGTATAGAACAGTCTATAGTCTGGATTATAGAACAGTCTATAGTCTGGACTATAGAACAGTCTATAGTCTGGACTATAGAACAGTCAATAGTATGGACTATAGAAAAGTCTATAGTCTTGACTATAGAACAGTCTATAGTCTGGACTATAGAACAGTCTATAGTCTGGACTATAGAACAGTCTATAGTCTGGACTATAGAACAGTCTATAGTCTGGACTATAGAACAGTCTATAGTCTGGACTATAGAACAGTCTATAGTCTGGACTATAGAACAGTCTATAGTCTGGACTATAGAACAGTCTATAGTCTGGACTATAGAACAGTCAATAGTCTGGAGTATAGAACAGTCAATAGTATGGACTATAGAAAAGTCTATAGTCTTGACTATAGAACAGTCTATATAGTCTGTATGGACTATAATTTAGTCTATACTATAGTTTATGGTCTGGTCTAAAGTCTAGTCTGTAGTCTGGCTTATAGGCTCTTCTATAGTGTATGCCATACTGCTTCATAAGGAACTATTCTTTATTATTCTTTATACAATGACTCACTTCTTTATTAGGAATTATTTTAATTGCTGTATAAATTTCATTATATTTTTTCCACGTTATCAGTTTCTTCAACTTTGTTTTTTTTTTATTAAAGTGCAATAAAATTTATTCATAATGAAAAAGAGAAAAAAATTCTTACTATTTAAGTAAATAATTTGCAATTTGTTTTTAATACCCTGTTGTTTTTTTAAAGGAGCGATAACTTTTTATATAAAAATTGATTTTTGTTATAACAAAAAATATTGAAATTCAATAAAAGAAATAAAAAAAATATAAGAAATATTTTCTAAATTAAATAAAGAAAAAAATGTTAGCAAAAATTATAGAGATAAGAATGGGGTATAAATAAATTGTCAACTGATAGATAATAAAAAAAAAAAAAACAAAAATAAATAAAGGTAAATAATAGTATAGAGTGCAGCTATCAAATAAAGTCATATATAAAAATTACAAAAAAAAACTATAGATAAAATAAGAAATTTATATAAGTTTTGGGGTTAAAAATTTGTATTCAACTAAAATATAAAGAATTTTATTATAATTTAAAGATATTTGATTTTATTTCTTAATAAATTTTTGCTTATTTAATCATATTTCTTGAATTATAAAGGAATTCTTTGAAATTTGTTTGAAAACTAAAGAAAATAATGTGGCAACTCTTAAGTTTATGGCTTTGTTTTGATTATGAACAAAAACAAACAAAAATCAATCACACCCAACACTCTATCACTCTTTTCTTCTCTCTTTCACACATAAAGCATAAAAATTTGCAACTTTGTTTACTTATTATTGTTGTCACTCTAGCATAATGTCATTATGCTAAAGAAATGCAACTCTGTTTGTTTATTACTGTTGTCAATCTGTAGCTAAAACCCTATTAAATCACAAGACATAAACATTTACATTTAATAGATAATAAATAATCGGCCCAAGAGTTTTTTTATAAAAAAAAAAAAAAACAAAGAAATATTCATTTATATCTTTTTGTGGTTTTATAAAAACTTTATAAAATAAATAAAAAATCCACAAAAAAATTAAAGAAAAAGAAACAGCAAAACTTTTAAACAAAGAATCTTAAATAATAAATTAAAAAACAATTTTTTATAATAACTTTAAAAGGCTTTAGAAAAAAATATTAAAAAACATTTAAAAAGAAATAAATATTTCATTTATTTTTGTTCATTTTTTTAAAACTACGGAAGTTGTCATTGTGACGCAATGTTGTGTTAAGTGATAACTTTTTGTTTTCTTTATAATTTTTTGACCAAATATGTGTCAATAAACTTCAATTGTTTAAAATTTCCTAAAATGTGTTTAAGAGAAATAAAAATGCAGTTTTTAATGTCATGGCAGAGCTATAAAATAATGAATAACTAAAATTTCTTGATAACCAAAACCCCCTTCAATATAACAAACAAAGTTATTGAAATATTGTTATTTTTAAAAAATTTTGTATTTCCCTGCTATTTAAGATAAGAAAATGTCGAGTTTAATGTATAAATATATAAATTTGGGTCATAAAGCTTAATAAGACTACTATATTCCTTCGCTATTCAAAATGTTTCTTCTAACTTCTACCAAAAATCCTAAAAAATTTCTTAACTTTGTTTTAAAACCTCAAAAAACAACAACAAAAATCAATCATTAAAATGAAAGTGATCGTTAAACGAAAACAAGTTTTCTAAATGGTTATATAAACCAAATATAGTTTTTAAACATTAAAAAACAATTAAATAAAATAAAAATACGTTAAAAAATTTGTTTTTAAATTTGACTGCATACGTTAGAAACTTTAGCTAAATATCCATTGTTTAAATGAAACATAAAAAAGTTTTATCTTTAAATCTTAAAACCATTAATTTAAGATGTTTAACAAAGAAATATTTAATTGGTTGGTATGCCAAAGAAAAAAAACGAAATATAATCCGAACAACTAACTGTTGAAAGACGGTTTCATAGACGAAATTATTCTATTAAGTGAACTATAATAAGGACTATTACCAGACCATATTATGGGCGATAGTTTAGTCTAAAGTTTGGACTATAGTGTAGTACGTAATGTGGGCTATAATGCAATCTATAGTCATCACAGTCTATAGCCTAAACTATAGTCTAATCTATATTCAGAACTGTAGTCTAATCTATATTCTGAACTGTAGTCTAATCTATATTCGAAACTATATATATAGTCGGGACTATATTGTAGTCTATTGTCTGGACTATAGTGTAGTCTATATTCTGGACTATACACTATAGTCAGGACTATAGTGTAGTCCAGACTGTGTAGTCTATAGTCTGGACTATGATGTAGTCAATAGTCTGGACTATAGTGTAGTCTATTGTCTAGACTATAGTATAGTCTATAGTCTAGACTATAGTATAGTCTATAGTCTAGACTATAGTATTGTCTATAGTCTAGACTATAGTATAGTCTATAGTCTAGACTATAGTATTGTCTATAGCCTGAACTATAGTCTAATCTATATTCTGAACTATAGTCTGGACTATAGTGTAGTCTATAGTCTGGCCTTAGTGTAGTCTATATAGTCAAGTACATATAGTGTAGTCTATAGTCTGGACTATAGTGTAGTCTATAGTCTGGACTTAGTGTAGTCTATAGTCTAGACTTTAGTGTAGTCTATAGTCTGGACTATATTGTAGTCTATAGTCTGGACTTCGTTTAGTCTATAGTCTGAACTATAGTGTAGTCTATAGTCTGGAATATAGTATAGTCTATAGTCTGAACTATAGCGTAGTCTTAGTCTGGACTATAGTGCAATCTATAGTCTCGTCTATAGTGCAATCTATAGTCTGGGCTATAGTGCAATCTATAGTCTGGGCTAAAGTGCAATCTATAGTCTGGGCTGCAGTGTTATAGTAAGGACTAAAGACTAGAATGTAATCTAGATTGAAGACTATAGTCTGGACTATAGTGTAGTCTTAGTCTGAACCATAGCTTAGTTCATAGTCTGGACTACAGCTGGATCAATGTGATTACTCTAGCCTAACATATAGTCTGAACTAGTCTAGTCTATAATCTGAACTACAGCCCAGTCTACTGACTTTTAGTCTAGTATGTAGTCTGATCTATAGTATAGTCTATACTCTAATCTATAGTCTAGTCTACAGTCTAATCTATAGTTCAGTATATAGTCCAGTATATAGTCTAGTCTATAGTCTAGTCTATAGTCTGATCTATAGTCTAATCTATATTCTAGAACATAGAACATTTATTTTCTAGTCTATGGTCTAGTCTATAGTCTAGTCTATAGTCAAGTCTATAGTCTAGTCTATATAGTATATAGTGAAGTCTATAGTCAATTCTATAGTGTAGTTTACGGTCTAGTCTAAAGTCTGAGATATAGTCTAGTCTAGACTGTAGTATATAGTCTAGTTTATAATCTAGTCTGTAGTCTGAACTATAGTCTAGTCTGCAATCTGAACTATGGAATATAGTATAGAATATAGTCTAGTCTATAGGCTAGTTTATAGTCTAGTCTATAGTCTAGTCAGTAGTCTAGTCCATAGTCTAGTATATAGTCTAGTCTATAGTCTAGTTTATAGTCTAGTCTATAGTCTAGTTTATAGTCTAGTCTGTCGACTAGTCTATAGTCTAGTATATAATCTAGTCTGTAGTCTAATCTATACTCTAGTGTATAGTCTAGTCTACAGTCTAGTTTAATCTATAGTCTAGTGTATAGTCTAGTCTACAGTCTAGTCTATAGTTTAGTTTATAGTATAGTCTAGTGTATAGTCTAGTTTATAGTCTAGTCTATAGTCTAGTTTATAGTCTAGTCTATGGTTTAGTTTAGAGTCTAGTTTATAGTGTAGTTTATCTATAGTCTAGTGGACAGTTAGTATTGATTCTGATATTCCCATTAGATATCCGATAGTACCTAAGGCAATTTGTTGCCCTATTTATGGCTGATATTTCGGTTGGCCAATTATGCAGCTTTGATTTTTTTACTTTTTCCGATTTTTTCACTGATTTTTATTTACTTTTTAAACACTTTGAAATTGATTTTATAATATTGTCGATTTTGCACTTTGAAATATTATCGAGAGAGAAATCTTTCAAATTTTGTTTAATATTATTGAAACATATTTGACATCACTGTTAACCAGTTTAAGACTGTGTTAACAATTACTCTATTTCTGTATTGCACTGTTACACTATTAGCGTTTTCTTGTAGGTTATGAATGATCTTTAGAATTTTTCTAGTTTACAATAAAATGTTTTGGAATGTTGCCATTTTTTATACTTTCTTTATCATTTTACACTTTTTTTCTTCAAAATTTTAACTATTCATAAAGAAATCTTTTATGTTGATTTCTATGTTTTGATGTCAAGATCACTTTCACTTTCTTTTTTGAAGCGTTTTCAAGATGAAGTTTAAGTTTACAACTACTTACCTTTGGCAATTCTCTTTTGCGTCTAAAAATAACACCATCATTTTCTATATAATCGGGAACCTCTTTACGATTTGAAAAATTAAACACCATAGAGGTATTTTCGGCAGGTGCAGCTGGTGGTGCCTGGCGTCGTTTACGCATGGCCCACAATGGACTATTTGTAGCACTTATAACGGAATCAACATCGGAATAGCCGGTAGTAGAAGCTGTTGCAGCGTTTGGGGCTGTTGATTTAATCACATGATGTTCAAGACTAGCTGAGGGCGAGGAGGTGGAGGAGGATGTATTATGGGCTGTTGCAGTAGGAGAAGTTTGATGTGTAGAATTGGTGGATTTTTTCAAATCATTTATGCGATTCTTTTCTATTTCGCGTGAAGTAAGATTGGTGTTATTAGGGGAGGAATGTTTTAAAGTTTCCATAGTGGAATCGTTGATTTTTTGCTGTTGTTGTTGCTGCTGCTGCTGTTGGGTATTGAGTAAAGGACGTATAACACCTATTTGTTTGCCCGTATTAAGGGCTGTAGAGGAGTTTGTGGAAGAGGAATTGGAGGTGGAGGAAGAGGGTGAATTTGTTGTTGTTGTTGTATTGAATTTAAATTGTTGTGTATAACCCGCTTTTGCTATATTATCGAGTGCCGTGCGCGTTATACGTTTTGAGGTTGTTAATTTCAAATCGCCCGTATCGTGATCGATGTCTTCACCACCATCACTTAAATCACTACTACTGGGAGGAGGCGTTGAGGCGTCGTCTACGTTGTTGTCGCCGTTTTCTTCTTTGTCCGTCTTCTTTGTTAAACAGTCATAATTATTAACTGTTGCTTCTTCGTTTTTCATAGCGATCGTATTGTTGCTGCTGTTGCTTGAAATTGTAGTTGCTGTAGTTGTAGTAGCTTCAGTATTATTTGATTTTTTATTATTTATAATCTTATCGTTTTCGTTTTTAAGAGAGTTGCTTTCTTCGTTTATTAAATCGTTGTTGTAGGGGGGATATTTGTTATTTATATTGTGGCGTTGGCATGATGCGTCACCACCATGATCACCACCTTCGTTGACAGCATTTTTGCTGCAGTTATCGCTGCTATTGCTTTTAGTTGGTGTGTTATCGTTTAATTTCAATTTACTTAACTCTTTGCTGAGCGATGTGACCGGAGAATCGGTTACCATTTCAAATTTCTCTTTATTTAGATCTCTCTTAGTTAGTTTCTCTTTATTTGGCAGATCCATTTGCTCTTTATTTTTATTTTGTTCACGCTCTTGATTGAATTTTTGTCGCGGTATTATGTCCGGTGTATGTTCTGATAGCGAGCTAAGACCTTTTAAAGGTGTTAAACTTTCGGCAGATGTATTATTGGCCATAGCCTTGTTAAGGACCTTTCTACCCAAGGGAGATTGCAATAGATCATTGGCTTGTGGTGTGGACGATTTTAAAGGTTTTTGTGGTTGTTGTGGCGTTAGATTTAATTTCTTAGTGGGACTTAGAGATTTGTTGTAAGTAGGCAAAGGTTTTTGTTCTTTAATGATATTTTTAAAAGTTTCCACTTTACTGGCCACCTCACCTTTGCAGTTGCCACGATTGGTGGCTCTGGGTCTACGATTAGCCGAGGCCTCAAACATTTTTAAAGTTTGCTTAACCAAATCCGGTGGAGGTCTTTCGGTATCATCTATTATGGAGGTTAGTCTTTTGGGAGGCATATGATCCGTACCCTGTTGCAGTCTTTCTCTAGCATTATGAATTTTATCTTCTATGCTCACCTGATTAGCACAGGGAGCCGAGGTATTGGCTCTAGTATGCCAAGGAGACTTTTCACTTAATAAAGCCTCTACAGAACGGGCTCTTTTCAAAGAATCATTGCCCCGTTTCAAATGGCGAGAACGTTTATTATATGAGGTTTCGGTAAAGGTAACACCCACACCATTTGAACCCTGATTATGGGGGGAATACCTTTTTTCGGGAGTTTTATTTAGAGACGTTTTCAAAATTCCAGTTTTCTTAGGCGATTCCTGTTTAAAGTTTTCATAAATAAAATCCTGTTGATTAGCATCTTCATCATCCTCAGCCTCCACCTCTTCATCTTCATCACAATTTTCCTCCTCATTATGATTATCCAGTAAATTATTTAAACTAGTAGAACGTCTTAATTGATCTTTATTTAAACGCTGCTGTTCCATGGATTCCCTTAAAGCCAAACTTAAATAGCGGCATCTTAATTTGGAAACAATACCCGGACCATAACTTAAATCCTCATTGGTATCCAATTCAGAGGACTCCACGTTAACCCCACCGCCTCCACCTCCTCCTACACGATTATTTAAACGATTTGTGGCCAAACAGCCACTTAAATGTGTATTATTCTGTGAGGACTTTTTCATTTCTTGCACGGCCACCATTTTCTTTTTAACCAAACAATTACCACTAGATGAGGGCAAAAATGTGGCTGCTGCTGCTGCTGATCCGGCTAAACTGCCTGCCGAATTGCTAGAGGTTAATTTACTAGGCGACTTTAAATCCTCGCCAAAACTTGCACCCGTTACAGTATTTTGTTTAAATTTTATAAATTTTTTATTATTCAACTGTTGCTGCTGCTGTTGTTGTTGTTCGTTTTTAATAAATTGATTTTCTTGTAATTTTTGTGAGATTTTCACTATACCAGCACTACTACTATTTTGATTATTACCACTAACACTTATAACACCAATAGTTACACTATTATTTGTTGCTGTTGTTGTATTATTAAAATTATTATTAATATTATTTGTAACTCCCGTAATATTATTTGCCGCACATACTAAACGTTCACTCTCGCATTTATTTAGAGACTGATGATTACTATTAGTAGCAAACACATTTGCTCCAGTTGTTGTGTTTAACAAAAACCCGCTATTTTCTCTCTCATTCTCAGTTCTCTTTGTTAATGTTGCTGCTGATGATGATGATGATGATGATGGTGAAGAAGAGGAAGCAGTATTTGTATTAGTAGAACCCGTTAAACGAGTTGCCATTTCTTGTAATTGTTGTTGTTGTTGTTGTTTATTTGTAATACTAGCATTAGTTATTAGTGTTTCATCATTAAATTCTTGTTGTTGTTGCCGTTGCTCTTCTTCATTTATTATTTCTTTGGTTTTCTTGAAAATTTCAAAATATTCTTGTTGTTGCTGTTGTTCAGCCATTATTTCATTATTTTCTTGTCGATTCTTTTCTAAACTCTCTTTAGTTTGTTTTATAGAAAAGATCTCTTCTTCTTTGGTTGTTGCAAACAATGCTGAGCAGCTTGACGACGATGATGATGAAGTTGTTATTGTTGTTGCTGCTGATGTTGCTGTATATTGACCTCCAAACAATTTTTCAGCTTTTTCTTTGAGTGGCGATGATGATGTTGTTTTAAATGATTTAATATTTATTGCCGGCTTTGCTGTTGTTGCTGTCGTTGTAATATATTGTTTATTTACCTTAGTTGTTGTAGTAGTAGTGGAATAATCTTTGGTTGAACAGACTTGTGGTAAACCATCTGCAAACAAAATGGAAAAACAAGAAAAAGAATATAAGAAAAATATGTTAATTTTCTGCATAAAAATTTAAATAAAGTGTTATTAGATCAGAAAACTGACTTTTTTATACAAACAGAAACTGTTATACTCAAGATTTTCTATAAAGAAACTTTTATATTGAAGATTTTCTAAAGAAAAAAACTGTAATAATGAATTTTTTCTATAGAAAATGCTATTGTTATGAAGTCTTCTAGAGAAAAAACGGTTGTGCTATTGAAAAACTGTTATACTGAACATTTTCTATAGGAATAACTGTCATACTGAACATTTTTTATAAAAAAGTTACATAAAAAATGTAATATTAAAGATTTTCTATGGAAAAAAACTGTTATACTGAAGATGTTCTATAGAAAAACTGTTATACTGAAGATTTTCTATGGAGAAAACTGTTATACTAAATATTTTCTATTGAAAAAACTTTTATACCAAAGATTTTCTATGGAAAAAAAATTGTTTTACTAAAGACATTCTACAGGAACAACTGTTATACTGAAGAATTTCAGGAAAATTTTTGTTATATTCATGGTTTTCTATGGAAAAATCTGTTATACTAGAGTTTTTATTGATATTTTCTATATAAAAACAGTTATATTAGAGTTTTTCTTGGAGTTTTCTATAGAAAAAACTGTTATACTAAAGATTTTCTAAAGAAAAAACTGTTATGCTGAACTTTTTTACAGAATAAACAGTTATACTAGAGTTTTTCCGAATATTATCTGTAGGAAAAACTGTTATACTCAAGATTTTCTATAGAAACAACTGTTATACTGAAGAATTTCTATAGAAAACTTGTTATATTGAATATTTTCTATGGGAATAACTTGTATACGGGATATTTTTATAAATAAAACTGTTATACTAAAGATTTTCTATAGAAACAACTGTAATACTGAAGAATTTCTATATTAAACCAGTTATACTAGAGTTTTTCTTGATATTTTCTATAGAAAAAACTCTTATACTAGAGTTTTTCTTAATATTTTCTATAGAAAGAACTGTTATACTAAAGAAAAAACTTTTATACTGTTATACTAGAGTATTTCTGAATATTGTCTTTAGAAAAAATTGTTATACTAAAGATTTTCTATAGAAAACCTTTTATACTAGAGTTTTTATTGATATTTTCTAAAAGAAAAACTCTTATACTAGAGTTTTTCTTAATATTTTCTATAGAAGGAACTGTTATACTAAAGAAAAAACTGTTATACTGAACTTTTTTACAGAAAAAACATTTATACTAGAGTTTTTTGAATATTGTCTGTAGAAAACTCTTATATTAAAGATTTTCTATAGAAATAACTGTTATACTGAAGAATTTCTATAGAAAATTTGTTATATTGCAGAATAACTGGTATACGGATATACTGAAGATTTTCTATACGACAAACTGTTATACTGTAATGTTTTATGGAGAAAACTGTTTTAATAAACATTTTCTATAGAAAAACTTTTATACTGAAAGTTTCCGTAGAAAGTACTGTTATACTAGGGTTTATGTTTAGAACAAATGTTATACGGAAGTTTTTCTATGGAAAAAAACTGTTATACTGAACTTATTTTATAGAAAAAACTGGTTATGCTAAGGATTTTCTAGATAAAAGGCTGTTATACGGAAAATGTTCAATAGAAAAACTGTTGTACTATAGAAAAAAACTGTTATACTCAAGATTTTTTTAGTAGAAAAGGCTAACAGTCTAGAGAAAAGACTGTTTTAAGGAAAATGTTCAATAGAAAAACTGTTATACTATAGAATAAACTGTTATACTCAAGGTTTTTTTGGTAGAAAAGCCTATAGAAAACGGTTATACTGAATATTTGTTATAGAAAAAACTGTTACACTGAAATTTTTCTGTAGAAAAAAATCTTATACTGAAAATTCCCTATAGAAAAAACTGTTATATTGAAGATTTAAAAGCTGTATAGATGATTTCAATAGAAAAACCCATATCAAACCCCATTCAAATGATTTACCACAAATTTGTTAGAAATGTCATTTAATCATCTACAAATTAAGGTTTAAAAATCTATGACTCATTTAGATTTCCCTTCAAAAACTTCAAAAAAAAATCTAATATAATTGCATTTATCAACAAAACATATGGTTAATATTAAAACCATAAAATTATAATCATGTTTTCATGAAAAAGCAACCCTTTTATAGTTCAACAATTAACCCTTTTTAAGTTAAAAAACAAACCAATAAGAATTTAAAAACGTAATGGCGCCATAGGCAGACTTATTAATTCTTGTTGAGTTTATTTTTTTTTAATTTTTGCAAAAAAAAATCAAATAAAATCATGTGAAAAAGTCATACACCACTTACATACATATAGTGAGGGTAGTCTGGTTTGTTTTTTAACTTTGTTTTGATTACATTTACTTTTTGTTGTTGCTATTATTGCAGTTGTATTGGCTTTTTATACAAATTTTTATTCTGTTTTATTATTGATTGGTATTCAAAAATATATGTATGTATGCCTAATAATACTCATACAAATATAACAGTAATTGATATGCAAATTCAAGAGAGAGTGAGACAAACACCAATAGAAAGAGTTAAACAAAAAGAGTAAGAGAGAGAGAGAGAAAGAGCGACGATTGTTTATCATTGTCAACATAGTCCACAAAAGTATCACTAACTCAAAAAATAAAAAAACAACCGGTTTAATTTCTTAATCGTAGCATGAGGTAAATTTTAAGAGAGCACTTGTTTTGCATACCCAATCTACACACACACAAACCTGTATAAATTTAAATAAGAGCATTATTTTGTATATGATTTTGCTAAAGTAAAGTTGTCAACAAAGGTGACCACCACCGAGTGTTTATTGCTTGTATGTATTTAGTTTCTTTTATTTTGTTTAAAGTTATTTTTTTTTTAGCAAGAAACAATGAATTGATTTTATTAACAACAACAAATAAACGTAATAAGACAAAGGTTTAATTAAATATGCAAATAAGAGGCTTTTCATAAGGTTCAAACAAAAGGTTGAAGGTGTTAAAAAATTGTGTAAAGAAAAAGGTGACCATTTCGGACAAAATAAAAGAAATTTTGTAAGTTTCTTTAAGAAAACTAATATATACTGAAGGTTTTCGATAGAAAAAGAACTGTTATACTGAACTTTTCTGAACTATTTCTATGGAAGATACTGTTAAACTGAAACTTTTTTATAGAACAAACTACAAAACTATAGAAAAACTGATACACTAAAGAATTTTTACAGAAAAACTGTTATACTGAAAATATACTGAATTTTTTCTTTATAACAAATTGTTATACCGAAGTTTTTCTATAGTACAAACTATTATACTGAAGTTTTTCTATATAACAAACTGTTATACCGAAGTTTTTCTACAGAACAAATTATTATACTGAAGTTTTTCTATAGATCAAACTGTTATACTGAAATGTTTCTATAGAGCAAACTGCTATACTGAAATTTTTCTATAGAGCAAACTGTTATACTGATTTTTTTCCCATAGAACAAACTGTTATACTGAAACTTTTCTATAGAACAAACTGTTATACTGAAGGTTTTCGATGGAAAAAAAACTGTTATACTATACTATTTCTATAGAACAAACTGTTTCACTAAAGAAAAAACTATTATACTGAAAGTTTTCTACAGAGCAAACAGTTATACTGAACTTCTTCTATAGAATAAACTGTTATACTAAATTGTTTTTATAGAGCAAACTGTTACACCGAATTTTGCATATAGAAAAACAGCTATATTGAACTTTTTCTATAGAACATACTGTTATATTGAATTTTCTCTATAGAACAAACTGTTCTATATAACATACATACAGGAAAAACTGTCATAATGAAAGATTTATATAAGACAAGCTGTTATATTGAACAATTCATATAGTAAAAACTGTTATACTGAAGTTTTTCTATAGATCAAACTGTTATACTGAGGTTTTCTATATAAAAACTTTTATATAGATTTTTTTCTATAAAAAAAAACTGTTATACATAATGTTTTCCATAAGACAAACTGTTATACTGAACATTTATTATGGAAAAAACTTTTATACTGAAGATTTACTACAGAAAAACTGTTATACTGAACATTTTATATAATACTGTTATACTGAAAATTGTCTATAGAACTGCTATACTGACAATTTTGTACCGAAAAACTGTCATAATGAAAGATTTCTATAGAACAAACTGTTATACTGAAGTTTTTCTTTAAAAAAAACTCTCATAATGAAATATTTCTATATGACAAACTGTTATACTGAATATTTCATATAATAAAAACTGTTATACTGAGGTTTTTCTATGTATAAATCTGTTATACTGAAGTTTTTCTATAAAAAAGTTTTATACTAAATATTAATATTATACGCAAAATTTTCTATAGAAAAAACTGTTATACTGACAATTTTCTACAAAAAAAGACTGTCATAATGAATGATTTTTATAGGACAAACTGTTATACTGCAGTTTTCTGTAAAAAAACTGTTATACTGGAAATTTTATACCAAAATCTGTTATACTGAACACTTTATATAATAGAAACTGTTATACTGAAATATTTCTATAGAACTGACATTTTTCTATAAAAAAAAACTGTTATACTGAAAATTGTCTATAGAACAAACTGTTATACTGACAATTTTGTACCGAAAAACTGTCATAATGAAAGATTTCTATAGAACAAACTGTTATACTGAAGTTTTTCTTTAAAAAAACTATCATAATGAAATATTTCTATATGACAAACTGTTATACTGAATATTTCATATAATAAAAACTGTTATACTGAAGTTTTTCTATGTATAAATCTGTTATACTGAAGTTTTTCTATAAAAAAGTTTTATACTAAATATTAATATTATACGCAAATTTTCTATAGAAAAAACTGTTATACTGACAATTTTCTACAAAAAAAGACTGTCATAATGAATGATTTTTATAGGACAAACTGTTATACTGCAGTTTTTCTGTAAAAAA